CCCCCCCCATCTGTAATGATCTAGTGAGCTTCTAATTCTAAGCATTCTCAGCAAGGAATGTATACTTCCCTTGCTGTGCTATTCATGGGACTACACAAGATTCTTTTTTTTGAACAAAGTCGGCATCCTGAAGCAGCGAACTCTTATTTCGTTTCACACAATCGATTTCCCAGACGGCGATAAAGCGGGCTCATCTCTTCATTGAGCCCCGAAGGCAGGGCCCACCTGTTAATGATGTTGTTGAGACGGCTGGCCTGAGGGGTGGGCAGGTCGTCGCCGTGCTCGCTCATCTTGGCGGGAGTCTGCAGGTCCATGTGCTCGGCCTCTCCGGACTGCAGGTAGGCCGGAGAGCCCAGATGACGGGGGGAGCGAGTCTCGGGGTCCTGGGGGCCACCCTCTTCCCCTTTGGAGGCCTGGTTGGCCGAGTTGAGCACGATGAACTTGTACTTCTTCCAGTTGCGCGCCTTGGGGTCCTGAGTTCCCTGGGAGGAAGGCGAGCCAGCGGTCTGAGAGAGCGCTGCGTTTTTGCTACTGCTGGACTCGGTGGGCGAGTTGGGCTGGCAGTCGGACTTCAGCGGGCTCTGAGGGCTGCTCATGAGACCTTTGCGGCTGCCAGAAGAGATGCCCATGGAGTAATGCTGGTGGCTCATGTCGTCCTCTTCCGACAGGGTGTTCTCTTTGCCGTCTTCAGGCTGCTCATGCCCCAGAGAAGAGAAGGCATACTTCCTGGACACCAGTCCAGAGGACTGGGCGGCAACCCTGTGGGCCTCCTTTCTCGCTTCATCATCCACAACCATGTCCCTGGCAGGGTAGGCAGTGGTATGGCAGAGGGCAGAGGAGGTGTTGGTTGCTGCCCTGTTGTAGTCTGCCAGCATACTGCTAGTGTTATCAGGGGGTGAACAGTGCTTCTGGTGGCTGGTGCCTCCTTTACTGTAGTCAGGGAAGGGGTTTTTGGCCTCTGGCAGCTTTCCAAGAGCATAGGGGAACCCCTGGACTGGGAGGTGGTTATAAAGGTGGTAGGAATTGCTCGGAGGGTTCACTATGTTGAACATGCCTGGACCGTAAGGCCTCCCATCCCGGAAAGGAGCAGCCCGGCCCGGCAGGTTTTCCACGATTTCATGGGCCCTGTAGCCATGGACGTCCTGAGGCAACAGCAAGGGACTGGCTAAAAACTCTTCCCTGGGCAACTTGGCTGAAGGGTCACTGAGGAAAACAAAACAAAAACATACCATTAGACTTAAAACGTATACCTTAAAAATAAAAAAATTGACTGGACCTTTCCAGACATGCCTGTAAAACCACAAACTTGTGTAAGTGGGGAATGTCCCAGTCTTCCACACAGTTAAAGGAAGTTATTGAGGTTCAACTGCAGCTTAATTAAAAACCCACACAACTTTAAACACGAGTCTCTGCTCAGTCATTACAGTGATCTGCTTTGGAGTTCACTTCTGCCTATTTTTTCTTTCTTACCTGGATTTGATAAACCTGTGGCAGGTGTCCACCACATGATCCATTTGCAGGTAAATAGCTGTGTTCATAACAGCCATGATCAAGCTTTCCTTCAATGTGAGGCGAGAGGTGTACATGAACTCCAGCAGAACTGCAAAGCCCTCTGAATCCACCTTTGGGTCCAGGCTAATGGCATTCAGGTTGCATTTGAGGGAGTCAGTGAAGATGGTATAGAACAGCCCACTTTGAAATCAAGACAAGAAAGAGTGCATAAGCAGTGGTTTACCAATACTTTTCACTGGCAAAAGATCCAATAACAAGCAAAAACAAAATTCTCTTAATATCTGGAATTCAAGAAGTGACACACCCGCGTGGTGACATTGCACACGCCGCAAAAACTTCACCCTGCCTGTTCTGTCTTGTGGAGAGCGTTATTTTTTTCCCCATGTATAGAATTTCAAGGCAAGACTTGGCAATTCAAAGGCTAGGATTGGAGGGGGTCTGTTTACCTGCAGGCCATGAGTACTGTCTTGTGAGCACGAAAGGGCTGCCTGTTCACCAGGATTGTGACATCCGTTAGGATATCCCTGCTCCGAAGACGATTCAAATTGAGAAGCACGTCGCTTGCATGGCGAGTAAACTGAATGCAGCTGTCGGCTGCACATGCCATTCTGTCAGGATCTGAGGAGGCAAACGAGAAGTCTATGAGAAGTCCGAATACTTGTTTACATGTCTGTTAACCAAAGCTTCCAAATACAGTACTTCCACTCACATTCCGTCTATAGCCGTATTCAGTATATCAGTTATTGCCTGGTTGCATAACTGGAATTAAGTTTTAAATGTATATCGTTCCATGTGTTGGGGGTTTTATTTCCGTGTCGTTAGTCTGTAATTACTTATTGCACCCCGTTAACATTCAATCGATATAAACCAAACAGCACTATTCAAAGTTACACAGTGTCGGCTATTTAAATGCAGCTATTCACAGTTATATAGTCTTCCTTACTAAACCCGGACATCATTAAATGAAGTAACATGTATCATATCAAATCTATTCATAACAGAAGTCTCTTAAACTGTAGAAAGGCTTCGGACAAAGCTACTTTCAGGACTGAAGAACTGAAAGAAGCGTTTTTACACGTAACGGATATATTCTTGCTTAACGTTAGTGTAGGAGAACTGTGATTATGTTATTTTTATATGGTAGTTAAAACCTCCGTGCAACAGTAATATTGATAGTTTTATTTTTTTAAACTTCAGAGGTGTAAATAAAATCGCATATCTGCGATAGGACTGTACAAAAAATACAATATTAGTTTCAGTTTTGAAAAATCCCATCACCGTTTAGGCAGACGTGAACTTCAGTTTTAGTGTTCCCGTTACTATGGCAACGTGGCCACACAATGGTTCTGGTTGAGGAACTGTTAATTTTGTATTAAGTCACTATAAAAATCATACAATGGTGGCATGCCATCACAAGAATGTTACCACCATTAAATATCACCCCTAAATCAAGAACTGCCTTACCCTCCATAACCATTTCCATTACCACCGTCCGTCGTTTTGCGGTCACAAAGTTTAAAAGCAGCACGTTTAGGCTACAAGTAGTAATAGCAAATGTAATTTTCCATGCAACCAATATATCACGTATGCAGGAATTTGCACCATAAGCAACGCATTCTTCACCCTTTGCAACTTTGCAGCTACTGTACGTAATGTAGTGTTTAAAACTAGAATATAAACATTCAAACTGCAATGTAGAATAGAATAATAATCTGTACCTTTATTTCAAGAAGATAGACATTCTCCTAGGCTCCTCTCCCTTTCATTTTACAGTTTGGTCTAAACATGTTGTAAACCAACTAAGACGTATAAATGGCAATGATTTTTTTTTTGCTTTTGAGTCTTAATAGCAGGGAATACAGCGATTCAACCTTTCCGGGAATGCTAACTGCAGCCTGGGCGGATTTTCAGAGAACAGTTCTGCTTCTCTTCAGATCCAGAAGCCGCCTTCCTGGAAATCACTTGAATATTTAGAAGACTTTTCAATGAAAACTTTCTTGGCTTTTCGGTACGCATATCTCGAGTTCAACAATAAAGAAAATGCCCCTTTACACCCACGGGTTTTTTTTTTCTAAAAAACGTTATGTCTAAGCTTAAGTTCTTGCTCTCTTTCCTGAGTTACTGTACATATGTTGGCGAGTTAACAAGCTTCAAGACTGCGCTTCTGGATTGTAACTTGTTTATAATAAATTTCAGCTGGGGTTTAGAACTGTTGTAGGGTAAGCGAGAGATCTGAAATGCGATTTCTGGTCCTACGTAGGACTTTAAAAGGTTAAGGTCAGAGAGAGACCCCGCATCGAAACCATCGTACTCCCACATTTTCAAAAAAAACTAAGCAAAACCTCTTTTCTTTTCCGTCGTTTTATTTCATCTTAACGAAAACGTGTGCAGTGCAAATGTAACCCTTACTTCTAATCTGATTAAGTGAATTTCCAGTGAATTCCCCGCTGTCTTTATATAAACACAGTAGCAGTTGGTTTTAAAGACCTGCTCAAACAGAGGGCACCCCCAAAACGACACAATTTCACACGGTAGAACAGAGAGAAAATCTCCTACAGCCAGTAGACGGCGCAGTCCGGCCAGCTGACCGTTTTCACTGAGAGAAAAAAAACATCCCGTTTAACTTCTGAAAACTACACTTCCAAAAATTTCTCTAGAACGTTGCCACATAAATACAATAACCTCGTTTAGGGGTTACAAGTATTCGATGGTTGCTCTTCCTAATTTGCAAAGGTAATTGTGCAAATTACTGTTTTCCGAAGCAGACTGAGGTATTTCAGTTCTATTGGAAGTTCTGGAAAGGTAACGCATATTAAATATTTACTGTGAACTAGATGTCGTGATTAAATACTCCCTGCATGGTTGCAAAATTGATCTCACACGGACTACTGTTAACTCAGTAGCACTTATACAAGAGACCAGCTCCTTTCGAATTTATCGGACCTTACGTTTTGAAAAAATCTAGAACCTAAAGACAGCAATCCTTTTCTTAAAGGTGTTTTCCGGGAATACCATAATTTGTGGTATTGATAAAACCGATGACAAAGTTGTTAAGGAAGAACGGTTATGTATTTCCTCCGCTGGCAGTCAGTAAACACTTCTCCAGCGGGTGTTTCCTTAAACGGTGTATGTGAAGCTGTGCACCGCTTTGATATGCAGATGTTTGAAGGGTCAAAATTTCACTTGTTCACTGCTGTGAAAGCAAGTTCACATACAAACTTCAAGCTTAATAAAAACCATGCATCTTATTTTAAACCATTTAATGTGTGGATGTTTACAGGGGGGAAAAACAGCAGTCTACCCATGAGCAAAATCCATGATTTAGAGGCGAAATTAAAACACCCGCCCCAAATACTACTTTGCGCTCACCCGCTACGAACATTATTTGCATGTTGTACATTCTGCGTTAGCTCAGTGCTAAATACTGTCTCCGTCCAAACCTATATTACTAGGTATTCTGTCCCACAGTGTAAAAGGAAAAAAAAATCAACTTGTGACATTTAAACACCTATATCTGCCCACAAGTATACGTAAGTAAAGCTATGAATTTCTCTGATCTATTTTTTTTACTTGAAGTTCACTATCCACAATGTCACGTGTATTGGGCAGTAACTGAAGAATCCTGGACGTTAATGATAGTCTAAGAAAATATTTCACTGGGTTGAAAACGTTACTCGTTTTATAGTTCTGTTTCAGAGTATACTGCTCTGGGTCTCCATGAAATCGGAGTGTGCCACAAGGTGGCACTGCTGCCCACTCTCTTTAATAAAAATTTTAAAGTTATACAGTAAGTTAAACTGGACATGCTCACTGGATACCTCTATGGGTTTTGAGTTGAAGGAGAAAGATACAGTAAAAAAAGGTCTGGGGTTATTTTCTCATCGGAATTTCTCCAACTGTAAGCTTCACTTCATAAAAGCACGACACAATACATTACAAGATAGATAAACACAGTGTAGGTCTGAAATACACTTTTATTAATCATTTACTCAACTGTAAGTCACTTAAGACCAAATTCTCCTTTACAATTAAGACCCAATGAGTACGCAGGGCACTGCTGAGTGGGGTACTCTGCTCAAGGTAACAGGCACCAACAACCACTCGGGACAGGAGCCCACCATCTATCGGACCAGAGTCCAAACAGCCCAAGCCGCTGCCGTACTTCAAAGGGATTTCAATTTAGCTTAAGGGACCACACTTGCAAGTCATATCAGCAATTACCACAAGATGTCACCAACATATCTATGTACGCGCACACATCACAAAATAAAACAAGTTACGGTTCTGTTGCATTCAGAAGGCTCCCTTTTTGTAAGTGGGGAGGAGCAGAACGCTACGGTCTCCGGCAAACGCGATTTCGTTAGTTAGCTCTCTTTAAAACACGAGCTTCCTTGCCTTATTATATATTTTTTTACAAAGATGAAAAGAAATCGCTCATAAGTTTTCTTTTCTCCCCGAGATACGACAAGGTTCATTGTAAGTCACAAGCAATTAAATGCAACTAAACTTTCCCAATCATTTAGTTATGGCAGAAGAGTTAATGTTTTTAATGGATCTTAAAGTACACTTTACGATTTCAAGTTCATTTCCAACACACAATTCCATGCCAAGTTTAAACCACCACAAACAATGGGCACTATCAGTTATTTTCCTACTCTAGCAATTATATACTAACACAGCATGCAGTCACAAGAGTTTTGGGACCGGCTTAAGCCATTAACATTTTAAAATATAAAATTGATCATGAGCGGTTTTCCGTAAACTTGACCATGAACAGCTTTTAAAATTATCTCTCTTGAGAACGCGACAGCTATTCAAACAACTGAAATAATAGATTTACGATGCAAGAACCTTATGTGAAAAACATTGACCCCTACTCAATGAACTGTCTGAACCCGAAAACAGATAGCCAAGCGCTATCCAAGAATAGCGTGTGGAGCAAGTCCAACAAGCGCAGACACTGGGATTGAGGGAGAGGTTCATAAATCTCTACCCGAGGTCTGGGGCTGCTGCTCGGCAGTAAGTCTTTCAAGAGGCAAACAGAATGCCCCAGAGACAATATGAAAGTAAACACTATTACAACCAGAAGTCCTTTGGTTTTCTAAAGCGTGTATACCAACATTTAGCGGTACTTTTCCAAACTGTTTTAGACAGAAGAGTTAAGTCGCGCCGCACTCCCGTAAAAAAAAAAACGAGTCACAATAAAGAACTTTTTTGCACATCAAAATTGGTTACACAGAAATTTTACATTTTAAATTCCAATTGGGGAGAAAATATTCTGTGAATCCTTAAAAAATGGAAGTTCTTTTAGCGTGTAGGAACGCCTTTTGAAAACTTGCGCAAACCAGAAAAAGTTACTTATATTAAAATTGCAATTTAAAAAACAAAACACCTGTTCAATTGGTTGTATAAACAAGCTACATTTGTTTTGTATATAGCCACACCAGAACAGTGCCGTCATCTATAAATAAACATTTCGTACGGCATGTTCTTGTACCGATTTCAGATTTGCCTCCAACCTTATCCAAATGTTTAGCAAAGGCACGCATCATCATCGTGGTACTGTGGAAAGCTACCAGCTCGCCAAAAAACAATTCAGGAGCTGAGGCGGCGAAGGGGCCACAGCGACAGATATGATATTTTTTGCAACCTGAGCAGACAGGCTTGGCCAGTGCCGAATGATCCCCTCCAGCAGTGACTGTTTCTCAAGCCTGCCATTTAAGAGCCAACACTGAGTCACGCAGATCTCCAAAAATACAACCTCCCTATCAGTGTCAACACTTACTAAAAAGTACCAGACGCCCACTAACCCAGACACCCACCGACTGTTACTTGTGCAGGTGGCACAGTGCCTTACAACAAAGATAAAGGACATAACGTTGGAAAAAAAAATAGAAATGGACACAATGTGCAAATACAGTAAGTGCCAGTTTTCACACGCATTTACAAATTCAAAGCAGCACGATTAGGAACACATTTTAGATCACGGTACAAGGTTATATCGTATCAAGCGATACAATGATAAACTTCGAGACTGTACGTGGTTTCATCACTCGATCTAACAAGGTCTCTCCACCTCAGACTACCAGGCAAGAATACAAGAATAGCTATTCCCGTCTCTCTCCATTAGCACCGCTGCAACCCCTGCTCCTTCTCCACAGAGGCAGAGCAGCCGCAGAGAACAGCACCACAGCGGCGGAGCAGCAGCTACCAACCAGAGAGAGAGAGGGAACTGTCAGAGTACTGTCAGAAGCCAAGACACACAAGATGAACACTGCGCAACAAAATACTGTCTAAAACACCTTGAAATCACCTAGAAACCTCTTTTAAAACACAGTCACAGAAACATTGTGTTTGAACCAAGCCACCTGCAAAGAAAAGTAAAACTTCGCGCCAAATTATTGGCAAAAAAGAATTAAAAAAATCACCTGGTAGGGCTTTCCTAGAAACTTCTTGCATCACCACTTCTAAGAACCCCAGTTCTAAGAATCAGAAGAGCTCAATTCTCGGAATTTGAGCTTGCGACTGTACCATTCTCAGAGGGCGGGGGAGGATCACTGTTTTCCGCGGGGCATTTCAGCAGCATTCCGCGAGAAAACTTTTGGTGGCCCGGGTAGGGACTGAATTAACAGAGAGTTTACCATAAAAAGAGAGACGTTTTTTCCTATTATTTTATGATTAAGTTTTGCAAAACGGGGGAAAAATAAGTGGCTCTTGCGCTCATGTCCCACTTGGTTGTGGAAGCTTCCAGACAGAGACGGTCACGTGGGTAGACTTACAGTCGACGTAGCCAGTGAATTTAGCCCTGCCTCAAAATTCTCAGAACTAATTTGCTATTCCGTGACATAAGCACAGTGTCTGCACATTGCTCGTCCTAATACTAAACCGATTGCCATAACATATAGAGAACATAGCAGGGGTGGTTATACACTTGGATACATGTTCTTACTGTTCACTTTTATAGGTGTGTTTTATTTTTGTTCCGTGTGTTCCCTTTTTTGCTGTTCCGGCCGATTTTTTTTTGGTAACATTCTCCGTTTTTAACCTTACATTGCCTGTGGATTTGGGCCCGCCATCCTACAAGGGTTTGTTTGGAGCTGGAGATCATGAGCCGAAAAAACATTGTGCTTACAAAGTTCTTTTTTTTAATTTGGAAGGTGCGTAACATGTATATGCATCTATTTTCCCTTTTAAAGACCTAAGCGACAGGCTGCAGCATGCAGTCTGTTGTGTATTTTCACCCTACACTTAGCAAGGTTAAATCTGTGTCAAAATGTGCATGTCATTGGTGATGGTGCTTTTCTGTACAAGTGTAAGTGGAATATCGTGATACGCGAGGGTTTGAATTTAATCTTGGACTTCCAAAAGACATTGTAGCTGTGATGTTTTATGTTATTTGACAAGTACTGTATATTGTGTGTGCTATTAAAACGTCACATAAACGTAGCGAACACTTAGTGATTCGTTGCACAAATCACGAAATGCTTTGATGTCAAACCTCAGTGAGAGAAAAAGCCTTATAATGCTGCTTTATTGTGCAAATAAATCCTTCAAGATTTTTCAAAATTACGTGTAAAGCGGAAATTAACTCTGCATATTGCGCACTAGGGGAAAATATTCTAAAACTGAATTTAAAACTCAATCTAAAGTTTCTTTTATTTCCTAAATTTAATGTTAAGAAAACTAATAATATCACGACCAATGTGGCGAAAGTACACTTGCACTGCAGCGTCATATATCGTTGATCGTTGTGTCTTAGTAATGTACCAGCGCTTTTGTCAGAATGGGTCACCCAGGAATGGCCTAAAGTTATGGGGTGTACAGACGTGGACTGGAGTCGAGCATTTGGATAGTTTGTCGGTATCGCTTTGAAACTCACTACTGCTCAAAAAATTACAGGTTGTCATAAGGCTTATGATTACGTCAATAATTTCTAGATTCTCTCCTCTCTGCATTTGCTGCTTAAAAACGGCGAAGTCCTACATAAAGAAAACAAATCTGAACAATTAGTGAAATAAGTGCAAACACTGACGGAAACAAAATACACGGAATCCCTGCAAAAATTAGGTGTATTCAGTAACACCTTGGAGCCCAAGGCGTAGATTAACGTCCTCAATGGTGGTAATTCTCAAAATACTCGTTACAGTGACTTGTAAAATACGTTACAAAAAAGTAGTCTGACTTAATGACAAGTGGAACTCCGGTTTTCCGCAACTGGACGGTGGGCTAGTGCTGCCGAGTATGACCGTATTATTACAAACTTTTGAAATCTGTGCTTGGAATACAGCACTTGTGTCCTGCATCTGTGTTATTGCGAAGTGTTAGTGTCAAAGTGTGCACTGCTGTCAACACGCATCGTAATGTGTCGACAGGGCATTGTCTGTTGCAAAGCGTCAGTTTTTTTTTTATTCTGCAGTTCTGAGTTTGTATAAAAATGTTGTGTGCACACACTGCTACGCTTCTGCTTGTGTTGTGCCTCATCAGTGTTCGGACACCCATGAATACCTGAGCAAGGAACTCCCATCCAAGGAATCTTCTATTGCTACTTTAGAAATGTAACCAGTAATAAAAATAAATTCGTTTCGAGATAGTACCGAACCCTTAAAACGTTTCAGTAACAGGCAAACGTGTTGAAAGTCATAACACCGAACACGTGCTAAGTATTACAGGCCTAATGCTGGGTAAACTGTTACCAAAGCAGATTAAAACTTTCTGCCCGTGTTCGGTGATAAGAAGAGGATTCGGCGCCTCGCTCAATTGAGCTATCAAGAAATGTAGACTATATTAAAGGCTTACATTTTAATAATGTATTGCACGTGTTGTTATGTAAATCGATGAGCGGCGGGGGTATTTCAGATATTCACGTGAGTGGTGTGCCAATACTGTTTACACTGCTTATTTCTCAAAGAACGTTTCGTTATATATCCCTTGAAACGTGTAAGATCAAGGTCAAGTCTATAATTTTAGAACTGTTGAAGAACAAGGTCATTAATAGATACTGAGTTTGTAATTTGTTTTCAATTACAGTAGATGGTAACAGTGTAACCCAAAGCGAATACAACCCTCTTACGTCTAACAGGCTTGGCATACGGCCAATCTCATTGGAGTTAACAGAATACTGTGTTTTTTGCATATTGCCTTAGTTTTTATCTGATGCTTTATTAAATAAATTTACTTCGTCTTTTGAAAACCAAGATAAAAGTTTTTTTTTTCTTCCGACTTGCACTTTCTTCATATACCTACGAACAGGGCATAAAATACGTGTCGCTTAAAAATGAAACCTTTAGGTGAAAACACAATACAATTAATCAGAGAGATTACTTCAGGTATACCAAGAATAATAATGTCAACGCGGCTTGACGATGTGCAAGTAATTTCAAATCGAGCAATGTTTTCATTTTTTACTGCATAGTATAATCAGGGCAAAATAGATTAATTACCACTGAACTAATACATTTATTGTTTAAATTGCACAGAAATGTTTATGTAAACATCTTTAATATCAATAATCCTATGTTGGGTTTTAGTATTTAAAGATACATGTAAACATAAATTCGCGCATGGAAAGTAGCTTATCTAAAATACCTGAAGCTTCCTTTCGCAAAAGAGAAACGTTAACCCACGGACTACAAAACCAGGAAGACAGTCACTTTTACGTTTAAATGTAGTGTCGCTGTCGGGCTTGTACACCATTTATCCAATCTAAGCGGTTCTTTAAAATACGTTAACACATTCTATACAAACCTAGCATTTTCTCAGAGCTCTTATTTAAACCACAGCGCGATTTCCAAAACAGGAGGGTTGCAATAAAACTTGTAAAATGATTTTTAGGTTTGATTTGAGAAACTGCATGTCTTTTGTCTACTTTCAGGTCTAACCAGTTGACAGCGCATTTTGCATAAACCTGGTCTACGACGCATTCATTTTTTTTCTTTTGAAAATCATTCTGTAATCAACGTCTTACTTTAGAAAAAAATAGTTAATGCAAGTCACCAGAAAAACCATATCACCTTAAACTACTCTTTTTCATTCCATATTAAATATTCTATACAGAGTACATAAATTGTTAAAAGGGCACTGAAGAAGTGACGTAAATAAATTGCTTATGATGTTGGTGGATGGCGACTTGTGCTACCTCGTTCTGCGATTTGTTATTGTGGCCTCTTCCATCTGATGATACTTCAGATATTGCAACAATCACCTTCAGATCCGTTTTTCTTTCGGTACTCAAAATACATACATCTGCAATAATTTATTTTTTTCAGCATAGCGATTTCTAAAAACTTTTAACGTTGACTACAGATGCCACATTAAAAAAATACAGCATGATACAGCGAGCAAGTTTGGTAACACAAGTTCACTGCTGATTGGATAAGCGCGATATACAAAGCAAAGTCTGTAGTTCAAATAATATACGTCCAGTTAAATACACTTTGCCTATATGCCTTATGTTTTTCAAGTAAGGTTTG